AGTTGCAATGTATGGCTGTGAAAGTTGGACCATAAGGAAGGCTAAGCACTGAAGAATTGAGGCCTTTGAATTGTGGTGCTGGAGAAGACTCCTGTGAGTCCCTTGGACTGCAAGGCGATCAAACCAGTCAGTCCTAGAGGAGATCAACCCTGACTGCTCTTTAGAAGGCCAGATACTGAAGATGAAACTCAAATACTTTGGCCACCTACTGAGAAGGAGGGACTCCCTGGAGAAGACCCTGATGCTGGGAACAGTTGATGGCAAAAGAAGAAGGGGACGGCAGGGGATGAGGTGGCTGGATGGAGTCACTGGGGCAGTGGGTGTGGGCTTGGGTGGATTCCGAGAGATGGTGGAGGGCAGGAGAGCCTAGAGAATATTGTCCATGGAGTTGTGGTGGGTTGGGCATGACTTTGCGACTAAACAAAAACTTCCCCCTCTCCCCATTGAGCATGAGCAGGCAGTGTTTGGAAATTGCAGGCTGCCTGCTGATCTCCCCATTAGGACGGCTTTGCCTGTCCCATGATATATCCCATAAGGAAGAATCAGGTGCTTTTCAGGTGCTGCCTTTCCATACAAAATGCATCCTTGTGTTACACCTTGCACAGGAGGCTTGGTTTTAATTTTAAACTACACAGGCAGGGCCAGCTTTGGAGTCCAGGGGGCCCCTCAGTGTGCCCCTCCCAGTGGGTCCCCACTGCTGCCCAAACCTCCGCTGGTGTCAAAGCCCTCCCACTGGCTGTTAAGAGTGCAGAGATCTCCAAAGCTGCATGGAAGAGGGAACTGCAAAGGACACGATTTGCCACGTGTGCATTAGGAATGTGAAAGGAAGGGAAAAGGGGTGTTTTTCTCTTCTCTTTTGGGTTTCTCTTGATCCTCAGCAGCTTCCTTCCCACTGATTCCAGCACAGCTTGGGCTGCAATATTTGATGGAATGTTTCTCCCAGCCACCATCTGGCCAGACACTGCACACCACTTCTGAGTCCTTTCCTTCAGGATGAATGCCACCGCCAAGAGTTTCAGTCGGAGGCACCAAGGAAGAGGCCCTGCTCCACAGCAGCCCACCCAGTATGGACGCATCTCCCCAGGTGGCTCCAGCGGGCACTGACACCACTCTCCTTCCGGTGCCAGTGTGAGGCTGCCCTTTATGCCAACGTGCTTAACAATTCTAAAAAGTGCATGGGAGGGTGAGTGGGTGTATCAGCTGTTTTAAGTGGCCTCCTTGTAGTAACCTGTCTTAGTTGTTTTAAAAAAGTAGTTTTAAAATCCGTGTAGAGGAATTTTATGACTTTTTACTGTTGTGTATATTTTATGAATATACACTGCTGAGAGAGCTTTGGTTATTGGCTGATATAGAAATAAAATTAATGATATTAGTAATGAGAGGGAAATGAAACTTCCCATCCCCAGGCCTGGCAAAGTTCTTCCCCCATTCTTTTTTTTTAATAAGTTTTATTCTTAATATATACCTAACAAAAAAACCCTAAAAAGCATCAATCATCGATAACATCAGACCTACTGGGTCAGCCCCCCACATTTTTTCTTTTTATGTTGAGCTATAAACATATTTAAGTCTATGCATAGTCCCATTTCTCTAGCCAATGATAAAAAGAGTCCCAAGTTTGATAGAAGTCTGTATCTTCTTTCTCCTTCAGAGACAAAGTCAATCTGTCCATTTCCGCACAGTCCATCTTCTTTAGAATCAGTTCATCGGTAAGTTCTTCCCCCATTCTGAGGGTCTATCAAGGGCATGGCAGGGCTCAAATCATGCAGGCTGTGCGTCTCCTGGCATATCCCAGGAATGCCTCTATCTGGTGTCCTCCAACAGTGGGGTCAGAGAAGCACCAGCTGCAGAAAGCACCCACTTTCTGCAGCCTCACGGAGGAAGCTTGACCTCCTCTCTGAGGGTGAATCTCTGCACCTGGGAGAGTGGGGAGAGGCAAATATTCTGACAGTCCTTGCAGAAATGTCCACCTGGGGACCACCGGTTTTTGCAGCCAAAACTTCATTGATGACCCTGGGAAAAAAGAACACATTTGCCTGGTGTTAGAAGGGAAACCAGGCAGGCCTCTTTGTGCCAATGGGGCACCAGCACAGAGCCCAGGGACGGTTTTGAGGGGAGGCGTGGCTGAGGCTTCCCGAGGGTCCACCGCACAGGGACTCACAAGGGCTCCAGGGACGAGCCCCAGCTCTCCACCGGCGCAGCTTGCTTGTTCAGCTGCCTCTTGCTCTGGCCCAGGTGGTGGGAAGGAGGGCAGGAGATGCCGGCCTGATGGCTCACGGTCTGCCAGGCAAGCAAGTGTAGCAGTGCTGAGGAAATGGGGCAGCTGGTGGCAGCGGTGGCGAGAAGGCTGCTTCCTGAAGCAGGGCCCACCAAGGGTGTTGTGCCCCAGGCCCCCTGAAACTTGGGAGACAGCACTGCCCGAGAAGACTGTCTGCTCACAGCCTGCCTTCCCTTGGGTTTCTGAGGATAACCTCTATGTATGGTCAAGCTGGAATGGGCACTGGAATTCTCTCAGGAATTTGGAACTTTCTTCACCTCTTCCTGCCTCCCGAAATAAAAAGAGAATAACATGTTGGTGATGTCAATCCATTGATCCACCTTGACTTGATGCATGGCCCATTTGTGGTTCCTCACTTGACCCACCAGTGGAAGAACAACGTATCAAGCTATGCCAAGGATCGGCATGTTCTGATCTAGCGACTGTTCTGCATCCGACTTCAAAAGCTTCCTGAGTCTTTTTCATACTGTTTCTGTGCTCATGCGAATGTTAGCAATGCAGGGAAAAAAAGTAGAAGTCTGCTCTTCTAACAGTGAATGCATATTTCTTTTGTGAAAGCGGGTCTCTGTGTGGCTGGTATGTAGCGTAGCAGTTTTGATGCTCAGCCAGTAGCCTTAGCAAAGTTGCTGTTCCTCAGCCTAACGATTGCGCAGGGCTGTTGTGGGCTACCTGAGCTTGTTTGAGGGAGGAAGTTGGGCAAAACCAACGAAATAAATAAATCAAATTGTAAAGATACAGAAAATGTCATGTACACGGCGATTCTCTCTCTCTCTCTCTCTCACTCATACACACACACATTCTCATCCCACAGTTTTCTGGGACAAGTCCCACAGAATTGACTTCCTAGGAAGTACACTTAACACACCCACCGGCGCGACCAATGACCCTTCCGTATTGTGAAATATTCACATTTTTGCCCTGCTATGGCATCCTTCCTACCCACGTGCTCTCTCCTTGTTTCACGGAGAGGAATACTGCAACAAGATTCAGGAGGCTTCTTTCTCCCTCCGCCACTCCCAGGAACACACACATGTACAAACACACACGCGAGCGCGCACACGTGTGCATACCCACACACACTTTCTCCCAGCCCTCCACCCACAAGAGAACTTCTGGGGATAGTTTGGAAGATACTCTGGAAGGGGAGGGAAAGGAGGTGGAGAGCGAGAGCGAGAGCGAGGGGGGAGGGCTTGTTTGCTCAGGCAGCGCTGCCTCTCCCGGGCCCCGCGCTTGCCTGCTTGTTCCCCACCGCATTCCCCAGCCGGTCGCCCGTGACTCAGGGGCCCAGACGGAGCTCCCGGCCGGCCGGAGCCGAGGTGGGTGACTCCAAGAAGCGGGCGCTGGAGCGCAAGGCAGGGCGGGGAGCCGTCCCGGGAGCGGCGCGGCGGTGCGGACGGCTGCACCAGCGGCGCAATCCTGCACAGGTTTGCTCCGGAGTGCTCGGCGAGGCGCGCTCCTGCGCCCGCTGCGTCTGAAGCCGGGGAAAGCGGGCTGGCCTTGGGAGCCTGAGGAAGGTGATGTCGAACGGGCTGTGCAAGAGTGATGCTGGAAAAGCGGCCGGTGCGGCGCCCTAGGTGGTCGCCTGCACAGCTCTGTGCCGGGAGAGGCGCACGGAAGCCGGGAGCAGCAGGTGGGGAGGGAAGGGGGAGAAGAGGGGCGGCGGTGGAGGGCTAGGCGGAGATGGGGCAAGAGCTGGCGCCGCGAGCGCGATGAAACCGAGCCGGCCGGAGGGCAAGGGGTGGGGAAAGGGGGAGGCCGGGCAGCCTCCAGGAATTTGTTTACACTAAATCAGGGTTAGCACACCACATTTCCTCCTGACACAGCCGCTTTCCCTCAAGAGAGCAAACGCTTTGCAGTCCGCAGAGGCAGTGCCTGGCTGAGGAGAAACTTCCCCTCTGCGATTCTGCCCCTCGCGCGAAGTTTTTTCTCAGGAACCTTGCCAGAGAAAATGGGCTCAGGCTGCTCAGCCCCTGTGAGGGGAAAGTCGCTAATCCGGACTCTGAATAAAGCAGTGCTAGTCCAGAGCCCGGACGGGGCGTCTGTCTGCAAAGGCCAGGCGCGTTAGGAATGAGCACCTTGCAGGGAGAGTGAGGGGGACGCAAGCCCGCGTAGCGCAGCTGAGAGGGCGCTGGAGATCTGGGTTCTCGGCCCCCTCGGCCAGGAAGTCCTCCGGCTGACTTTGGAGCAGCCACTGACTCTCAGCCCAGCTACCTCTCGGGACTGTTATTGTTGGCAGGAGTGAATGGATTGGAGAGGAAGCTTTTACATCACCTGAAGTTCCTTGCAGGAAGAACCGTGGGATGGAGATGTAGTCATGCAATAACTGCATGACCCATCTTGGCCTGATATAACTTCAGAAAGAGAAAGTTGATAACTTATAGTGATAAGAGAGAGCAAATTGGACCTATGTGGCAATTTTATATTGCTTGAAGTTAGTGCCATTCTAGCCCTTGTCGTGATTGCACCATGGCTGAGATGCATGCTTGTCTAGGGTAGCAAGTGTATACCCACTTTCTTGGGAGTAAGTGCCTTTTAACCCAATAGGACTTACTTCTGAGGGGGTATGCACAGGATTGTGTGGTACATCATTCATCGGAAACACAGACATTACAACTTTACAAATGCTGTAATTTGATCTACCTTAACAAAAGTATTCCATGCAGAATCCATAGGAATATGTCCAACTTTTAATGCCATAACTGGCTTCGAAGAGATGGATTTCTGTAGGTTTCCATGCCAATGGGTTCACATACCTACCTGCTTTCATTAACACGCGTTGCTCACTGGTGCATATGCAGACTTGTCTGAAAGGAAGTGTGTAGCAGATAATTTAAGGGCATTCATAGAAGAACGTCCCTCCCTATCCGTAGAACTTGATCAGGCTGTTATAAACAAAGTTGCTACATCCCACTGAACAGCAGTTTCAGATCTAAGAGGCTAAACCTTGGACTTTACCACTGGCGTTGTACTGTTGCCAGACTTGGCAAGCTTGTTCTGAACACCGGCTAAAAGACATACCTCCCAAGAATCTGGGAAGATATTAACTTGGCATGGTGTCATTTGGGATAAACTGGAAATGTGTCAAGTGCCTGGTAAATTGACTTTCTTATCTGTGCATCATCAGCTGCTTGGCAACAGTTCAGAAAATTTTCTGTGATCCATCACGGAGAAGTGTAAGTGGTTATGCCAGTGCCGGCTTCTGTCCCGCTTCAGAGTACACCGTTGCTGGTCTCATTCTGACCGGAATACATTTTTTTTTCTTCCTTTTGCTTTTGCCAATCCAAAGGTCCAATTCCCCACCAGCTGTATGTCTAAGTCAGCCTTTGGAAAAACCACCACCACTATATCCAGATTTATATTCACCAAACTGCTTGGCCAACCTGTGCATGTCTATTCTGAAGTAAGCTGCACCAAGCTCAGTATGGCCTAAGCTTGCATCTCGCTTTTCTGCTTACCTTAAGTTCAATGATGCTCAGCCCTAGGATTCACTTCTCTGGGTACGAGCCCCACTCCTGTAACACTTTTGTTTTCTCTAGGCCTGGGATGCCTAAGGACAAAAACTGTCGCTAAACTGCTGGTGTCAGCATCATAATAATTATTTTAGTATCTTTCATTTGTCATTTTATCAGATTTTACTATAGCCTGTTTCACTGTTTGGAGATGGTTGTGGGGGCAGAAACACATGGTACAGATTATAGCCATGTGACCCCTATTCTTGTTTACCCAGGCAGCAATGCCAGCAAGTTCTTTGGGGCTTACTCCCAAGTGCATGTGTGTAGCAGTACAATTTTTAGTATTATTTCTTATTGCTATTGTTACAGTGATACTCCACTTTTCTTCCTCTTGCAATTAACCCAAGGCAGCTTACAAGGTTCTCTTCATTTTGTCCTCACCACATCAAGCGCCCTGTGTGGGAGGCCAGGCTGAGAAGCTGTGTCTGGCCCAGAGTCACCTGGTGAGATACATGGATGAGCGGAATGAGCTCATCCATGAATCTCCTAAGTCCAGCACTCGAACCAGCATGCCGCTTTGGCTCTGCTCTTCATTGGAACTGCACCACAGGAATATGGATTTTAATTAAAGTTCCCACAGTGCAGTTTTAATGAATGATCCTGTTAAGGTCTGTTCAGGTCCCTGCCTTCTGTTTTCTCAAGGGTATAAGACTCTGCAATAAGTAACCTCTGAACAAGAACCAAAAGGCACACAAGGGCCAGGTTGCAACCCTGGAGGGGCAGGGGACATTCCCTGTTTGAAGGCATTGTCCAGTTGAAGGGCTCCCTGTCCAAGTTCATTTTAAAGATGAAGACGGAGGAAGGACAGACCTTCCTGTTGTCTCAGGGAAACAGGCTGAGCAGGCCTGTGGGTCACTTAGAATGAAATGCTTTGCATGCCTTAGCAGAAAAGTCTCCCCAAATCCTCAGCATTCTGTAGCCAAAAAATTGCTGCTGAAATCTGGTGACAAGCTGCACCCCTGAAATTCATGGGCAAGCCCCCCTTGTTCCCTTTGCTCAACAAACCACAGCATTGCACAGGCATTGGTTTCTGTTCTGCTTCCCATAGAAATGCTTTCTAGTTTTCTCCATGCATATACAAATGTTTGCGCTCTTAGGTCTCCTCTTTTTTAGTAGTGCATTTCCTTTTTTTATGGCTACATGCAGGTTTGGCATAGTGGTTTGAGTATTGCTCTAGGACTTAGGAGATCCAGGCTCTAGTCCCTATGTGGTCATGTCTCTTAGTGGGTGATTTTGGGCTAGTCACTGACACACAGTGTAACCTACTCTACAGGGTTGTTGTGAGGATAAAAATGGAGAGGAGGAGGGGCTCATGAAAGCTACCTTGGGTACCTTGCAGGATGAAAACAAACAAACTCAACATGCTGTTACTATAAGAATATGCAACTGACCCCTTGTCTGCCTTCCATACTGGCCCCTTCCTTTTCATTAACCCACCTCTTGGATTCAGTCTCAAGCTCTTATATTTGTGAAAGGAAATATTTCTATAAGAACCATAAGAAATTGGCCTGTGATGCCATGGATCTGCTTGGTTTGCATTTTCAAGCAATCTTATCCCATTCATACTCACTAAACCTAAACATGAATTGGAACCCAGGTTGTCATAAAACGCCTCATATTTTGAGATTCTGAAATGAAGTTCATCTTTCTCTCAAAATGATTTTTTTCCAAGAAATGCTCAACAAAAAAGGTACAGGCATACATATATATAAAAAATAAAAAATCAAATCCAGTGTGGACAAAAGACAGAAACTACTCAAGAGTGAGAAAACGCTGAGAAAAAGTGAGCTTGACAGATTCATTCATCCCTAGAGTTATGGTCAGTTATGATTAAAAGTCACTAGGTAAAATGATGAGCATTAGAAATGCCTTGGATTTTGTACAAAGCATTCTTATGTTAATATGTACTACAGTAAATTAGCCTTAAACATATTAGGCCATCTTAATTTCATACCTGGCTTTTCTACATTGATTCCTCTCACTTATGTGTTAATCACTGCAAAATATCTGGCTATAGGAATGGAAGAGGCTGGCCAACTAACACATTAGAACTACACATTACTTCTGCTATGATTACATTATTGCATATGTACCAATTTATGTTACAAAACCCATTCTGTCTTCTAAGGGCACAACTAGACAAGAGAATAGAGATCTGATCCTTCCCTTCCCGCTGTTGCTCTTATCGTGGAGAGTCTCAGACCCACACAGCTCTACTACAACTCACCCATAGATCCTCCAGCAGATATTGATCTCCCTTGGCCCTGATCCCTGTTACAGAGTACTGCTGTCATCTTACAAAGTCACCTGCTTATAATCTGCAGGTTGCACTTCAGAATCTGCTGAGAAACAGTGCTGGTGGTCAGATGCCACATCTGGGGAACCTCTTTCACAGAATAAAACTGCACTGTCAGAATGACAAAGAAGGATTCCCCAAGATGATTCTCCACCTCCAAAGACAGAAGAGGGGCTGTGTGTTTGAAATGCTCCCCTGTGCACATAAACCTATCCTCGCATAGAAAAAAAACATATTACCAAGAAGGCTAGGCTAGAATCTTTCACCCTGATAAGCTAGCTTGTTAGAGCTGGGGGTGGGGGATGTAGTTGTAGTATCTTTCATCTATATTCTGAAATTTATTTATTTATTTGGAACACTTGTATGCCGCCCCATTCGCAAAAGCTTCGGGGTGGCTTCCAATACAAATAAATAACTATACAAATGCATTAAAAATCTGGAGACATCCAGGCGTAGATATAAAAACAATAAATAAATTAACAATTAAAATAACGTTTAAATAAAAAGG